GTAAAGCATCTTTCTATAGGATATCCTTTGTAGTAGCGCTGCACAAGCCAGAGAGATACCATGATACACGGGGCTTCCCGTCAACGTCCAAACTTAGAGACCTATTTCCATCATGATTGCCGCGATTTGTATATAGTTTTCGTGAATGGAGGTATGAAATCAAAGCTTATTTTGTGATTATTACGGCCATGCTTACTGAATTTTGATTATCATTTTCTAAAGGAAAGTTTTCACAAGAAAACCATTGGACTGACAGTTCAGTCGCAAGCTGCCTTCAGTCTACACACGCGTACATACAGTACACACAGTGCTGCTGCGCTGTGTCGGCGGTGGGTAGCGTACGAAGGTGCGAAGTAACGCTAGGCTAGCGGCCTCATGAATAAACATGAGTACTTTGGCTGAGTGAGGTAGAGTCGAAGAGTATGGGGGGCCAAGCAGGCCAATAATCGTACAACTATACAATTACACATACGTCTATCCATCCATCGAAGAACCCGTCAACACAACAGCGTGCGGGCCGAAGTGCCATAATTTTGTACACCTATACAGCTATACAACTATACGACTCTCAGCTAAACAACTATACAACTCTACGTCTACTCAGCCATCGGAGACTAATATTGTCTTATATCTACAGTAAATTAAAAGAAAATTTAAACAAGGTTATGAATTGTACATTTACATATTAATAGTTCAATATCAACCAGACAGAAGTATGTGACTTCATTGCAAAACAGTCAGTTGCGTAATGAGTAAAATCGTTTGAGTGGGGGAGGGGGGGGGGGGGCCCGGAGGGGAGTGCTGAAAAAAAATCTGCTTGCACCATTCTTACATGTTACATGCAGACTCCAAGAAACGTTTTTCAAAGTGGGGGGGGGGGATCAGTTAGATCGCAGCGAGTTGAGTGTTTATAGGTGTGGGGTCCACGGGTTTCAAGGGGCCATAAACCCCCGAAAGCTCACAGGTTTTAGGCATTTAATTAGGGTTAGATCGCAGCGAGTTGAGTGTTTATAGGCGTGGGTCCACGGGTTTCAAGGGGCCATAAACCCCCGAAAGCTCACAGCTAGGTTTTAGGCATTTAATTAGGGTCAGACGAGCATATTTTTAATACTTTATTTGTGACACTGGCAGGTCACTAATTGGCGTGGGGTCCATACGTAGATTTGTGTAGTGTTGCGTACCAACTACGCTGGCCTACGTTACTACATGCTGATGGATCGACGCAAACAATTCAACATGCTTAATTTTTTCCGCGTACTTTCGGCGTAGAAAATTGACGCAGAAAGTACGCCTTTTCACGCAACACTACGCCATGCCTACGCAACAGTACGCTACCCTACGCCAGATCGACAAAGCAGTAAAAGCTTTCCACACAGTAAGCAACCGTAAGCAACCATAAGCAAACATGTACACTAGCCTATGCATAACCTACGCAGGGACTACAGTGAAGCAACATTTTTCCATTAATACGCAGCCTAATTTCTGCGTAGTCGGTACGCCAAACTACGCAACTCTACGCAGTTCCAGTGTGAAAGAGGCTTACAGAATAATATATATCTAAAATATATCTATTTACACCCCCGCCCCCTCTAGAATCCCGCGGATTTCCGCGGGTCCTGCTAGTAAGAATAATAATTCATGAAAAATTTGAAATTTAAATCACTGCAACATACCAAAATCATTATTTTTCCACAGGGCACACAAACAAGTTATACTTGGTTGCTTTCTGGCCCGAGCTCAATCGCTCTTCATGTATCACCTCAAAGACATCTAGACTCAGTCTTGATTATTTTAGTCTATAAGGAAAACGATGATTTTATAAAGCAGATACAAACAAAGCCTTTGGGAGTCAGCCTAATAAATCTAAATACAACCATATTGAATGAAAACATAGAAATATGTCACTGTATTTCTTTTGGAAATGACATGGACATTTCAATTCACTCACCTCTTTTTCCGTCACTACGTATTGGTCTACGTGTTATATGAAATGAAATCAGTATTTTGTATAGTCTTTGCCTTTACAATGTAATGGTCCGCTCTTCAACTGGAACTGTATGCATGTATGTATGCAGTCTATCTGTCTATTTTTAGTGACTGGAAATTCCCAGCAACCTTGAGCGATAACCAGATTGTGATCGCCCATTGAAACCTCGTTTTCAGTTTGACAATCGTCTGTATGGAGACAATGGAGCACACATACGCCCTGCTTCCACGCCGCCCCCTCCCCCCCCCCCCCCACACACACGCAGTACAAATCTTCTAAATGGCATTAGGGCTGGGCTGGGATTCAGAACCTCAACTCTTATGAGGCGTTGCAATCAATTGCAATTTTCTTGCAATTGATATTTGCAATCGAGTGCAACCCAACTTTCTTGCAACGCCCCACTAGTCTCCTAAATTCCCTAGGATTTTGTTAGGATTAAAGTTCTAACAATTAAATCAAGTTAACTAGATCTAGCTAGAATCTAGGATTTGCAATTCTAATTATTTCAGTCTAAGGAAAATTATGCTTTTATAAACCAGATACAAACAAAGCCTCCAAGGTGTCTGGTAGCCTGCCTAATATAGTATATATATATATATATATATATATATACATCAATGTAAAACAAAAATATTGAAAAATGTTACCAAATTTCTTTCGGAAATGACAGAGACATTTCAATTCACTCACCTCTTTTTCCATCACTATGTATCGGTCTAGGTGTTAATATAGTATTAATGACTGCTTTGAGAGAAATAGTTGTTTTTATACGCTCAAGGGAAGATTAGAATTGTGCTATTGCCCGAGGCGTGTTTCTCGAATATTAAAGCAGTCATTAATACTTTTATATGCCAAAAAAAAGGGTTTTTTTTCTTCTAAGTTTCAATTTATGACCCTCCACCTGGCAATATCTCCCAGCTTAGTAATGGGTGTTTTGACTCACCACTCGGAAACTAGAACAACACTCAAATTTGTCTGTTATCTTGGTTTGAAAGTAATCTTTCTGATAGATCTCAATATGTAGTTTATAATAATAATTCCTCCAATTTTTCTTCTATTATACAGCATACCACAAGGTTCTATCTTAGGTCCTCTACTGTTTTTTAATTTACATTAATGATCTAACACACTCAGCTGCACCTCGCAGTTAAATGAAAGGCCTTCCCGCGTGGGTTTTTTTAACACGGACCTGGCTTGCTGCTGACAGATTCGGCAATTTTTTTTTTTTTTAAGGGCGAAAAAGACGGGTGTGTTTAATACACGAGGGCGGTTTATACACCGTTAATTACGGTATTGGAATGTTGGAGATGGCGCTATACATGCTAAACACATCCGGAAAGGAGAAAAGTAAAGAAGACATTCAATCTAATAGACCTTTTCTTTTATGGCACCAACCATCATCTGGTCGAGAGAGCTATTAAAGATATTGTTCGATTTATCACAGTTTCGGGTTGTTTACGGACAATGTTGCAATTTATTTCATAAGCCTACAGGACAGGGGGCTGAGGGAGCTGTAGCCCCCCCCCCCCTCTCCCCCCCTCTCACCAATAACCTATTCGGGCATGGGAAACCACCACCTGATTCTGGTAGTACCGTAATATTCAAACTATTCAAAATATTTGTACTAAATAAGAAATTAATGCAATTGTGAAGCCCCTGTAGATCAGAGATCCTAAATGCGATTACCTCTCGCATTTGTTTTGTATAGGAAATGTGCCCAAAATATATATATATATATATATATATATTTTGTATACCGTAGTGTATTCGTTTTACACACAGGAGGACCTATATGGAACATGATTACAATTTCAGATTTCGGCCACAGCTATGACAACAAAAATTGCTGGGTGATGTTTAACAAAATCTTTAGTACATGTACAAAGCGAACAGAGAATAGCTGTAAATCACAACTTTTCTGATTTTTCTAGAACTTGTAAAGACCAATTTCTCTCTTTTTCTGCTTTCATTGAAATTAGTGAGATTTCTTTTTGATACATACTATTTATTTGTGTTAGTTTAGATAGGATTGACACTGATGTCTATCAACAATATATTAAGGACAGAAACCGAAAGAAATGGAAACACAGACAAAATGAAGTGCACTGTAGTTCAAATAATAATAATAATAATAATAATAATAATAATAATAATAATAATAATATAGTATTAATGACTGCTTTGAGAGAAATAGTTGTTTTTATACGCTCAAGGGAAGGTTAGAATTGTGCTATTACCCGAGGCGTGCCGAGGGCAATAGCCCAATTGTAACCTTCCCGAGAGCGTATAAAAACAACTATTTCTCGAATATTAAAACAGTCATTAATACTTTTATTTGCCAAAAAAAATAGACTAAAAAATAAAAAATAAACATTTTTTGTCGAAGATGGGATTCGATCTCTTGCGTACCAAAGGTGATGTAACTAAAATCAGCGCCTCAAACCGCTCGGCCATCGCGCTCTGTCACCATATCTAGCAGTTTTCTCTAATATATACATTAAAATGGATTGAAAACGGCTTCGCGTGGTGGATGCTTTACCGCTGCTCCATTAAACGGGCCCTTCTTTTACTTTTGCAATGCATATTGGCACGAACTTAGATCAGGATCTATCGGCAGATGTTGTTTTTTTGTTTTTGGAAGTTGATTTTCGTCTTCATGTCAACAATGCAAGATAAAATTGTCGGTAAAATCGATCGAGATTCAATTGTATTGAAATTACCGACCAATTCTTCGCACACGTACGGTATCCTCGATCGCTCAGACCATTTTTTAACATGTAAACCTATGGGGTAACCATGGAGACTGAACTATTTTCCCGGTAACCATGGTTACTGGGATTTTAGAACTGTTTTAACCATGGTTACTGGGAATTTTACAGAAATAGTTAAAGTTTATGAATGTAATTTCGACCAATCAGATGGCTGGATTTCTTAAGTGAGGTATATAATAATACTTAGTTTTTATATAGCGCAAATTACAATTACAATTAAGTCTCTAAGCACAAATGTATCTCTATATTTGATTTACAGGGAAGGGAGAGAGCTCTGTGCATCACCCTGTTACTAGGTCTCAACTGTGAGGAGGATTATCGAGTGAAAGCAGCGTCCGTCAGGGCTCTAGGGGTCTTTGTACTCTACCCCTGCCTTAGACAGGTAGGTTATACATACATGTACAACATGGCCAATAAGCTACTTCAGTGCATAAATGAATAATGTCTACCATAAATCTCTGTGTATAAGGCGCACATCTATTTTGAAGACAAAAAAAAAAATTCTGTCATCTTTAGTTTTAAAACAACATTATTACTAGGTCTAACTTAGTTCACATTCACTTCAACTGTGCCTTGTAATAAAATGAACGTATTTTCAAACACTGAAATAAGACGCGATCTGATCTGGTTAACAAAAAGCCACACAAAAAAAGCCCCCCCAACAAAATTGGCTTTTGTTGTGGCTTTTTGGGTTTCTTGGGCTTTTTGTTAACCAGATCATATCAGCTCTTATTTCAGTGTTCGAAAATACTTTCATTTTATTATGAGGAACAGTTGAAGTGCATGTGAACTAAGTTAGACCTAGTAACAATGTTGTTTTTAAAACTAAAGATGACAGAAAAATTTCCCTCTGAGTCCAAACAGAAATTTGGACAGGCTAGTTTTCGAACGGTGATTCGTTATCCCCCGTGTAAGTGAGCTGCATGATACAGGTGAGTGAGCTGAAGACACGGGGAGAGCTTCGGCCGGCAAAGTGCTTTGTGAAGGCGCATTATAATTGATTGAGACTGAAAAGAAAAAAAATCTCTTCCCTTCAAATTAGGAACGTAGTTTAACTTCAAATAGTAGATCCTATTCTGTATTTGCATTATATATTTCATGTTGAGACACAGAGATTTTCAAAAAACCACTAAAAAGTAGCATTTTGAGGACTCAAAATATCCTGTACCTGTGTATAAGGCGACTTTTGATTTTTGCCGACGGAAAAAAGTACGCCTTATACACAGAGATTTACGGTACATAACTGTCATGAACAGTATGTACAGGTTGGTAGCAGTTTTCTTGATGTGTTTTACAGTCTTACCGATAGTTTCTCCAAAGTAGCTAGTTATGCATCATCTCACAAAGACTATCTTTACCACTCACTTTGTACTTCTCCAGCCATGCAATGTTCGTCCAACCAAAATGGACAGTTCATGTTCGATCATGTTTACTTGGGTGTAAAACTATGAGTGACCATTCAACATTTGACTTTCTCATCTTACAAGGAGACTAAATTTTAAGCCACCCATGCACAAGTCTTCATCACAAAAATCATGTGCTTATCAATCGGCCACTTCGGTGATACTATCTGAAAAGGTCATTAGTACAAAACTTTTAAACCCATTAAGACAACTGCTGGATATGTGTTTGTGACAGTTATATAATCATTAGGGACTTTTAGATTCGTGTGGACTGATACGTGTGACGTCCATTCAAGGCAGTGCATTAAAAGGACGTCGACCGTAGCAATTCACAATGGCGTCGTGCAAATCTAAAAGTCCCTATTATTCATTTGTGCACCGGCCATACATTGTATGATACACATGTGGGAGTTTTCTTTTCCAGAGTGCAAACAAAAGGTATTCATGTAGTACCTCCATCACTTTGACAGTGATTATTCTAAAGTGCACATAGTGGGAAGTCTCCATGTGTAAAAGATCTGTGGATATTTGGGGGTCATTTAAGTACAAGTGCTATGTCCAAAGCGGCTTATTGTTATAGCACACATATTAATGGCTGGTATTACTTACTTACTGAACAAGGGCATCAAATCCCCCCAATCTTCACCCAAAGACCCATTTTTATTCCTGATAAATATGTTACTTGGTGATGAAATAAGCTCAAAATTTACTTAAAGGCATTGTTTTAACAATTTTAAATCTGAGATGCATGGCCCTTTGTTATCAGTGTCTGTGATATGGTATAATATTGAAGCCCTAACAAAATTGCGCTTCAAAATGATCATGAAGTGCCTCAAAAAAGCAAAAATCTTTGAGTGACTGTTTTACCATACTCCTTTTCCCCAATAGACTGTAGTGTTATAAAAAGTGTAAGGATAACGAAAAATGAAATTTCCAATCATAAATATCTTTATAATCAGACAGAAGATCGGCTTGTAAAAGTCATAGGATTCCTGACTGACCTAAAGGTTTATAATTCTGATTGCAGCTTGAAATAAATCCAGGATTTTGTTTCAAACTCTGAGGCAAGGTTACAGAGTCACTTTAAAGCAATTAGCAATATTTAAAGTTCATTTTTGTCTATTTTCTTTCAGGATGTATTGTTTGTGGCTGATACTGCTAATGCCATCTTGAGTTCTCTTCAAGACTCATCAGTTAACGTGAGAATGAGAGCTACATGGTCTCTTGGCAATCTCAGTGATGCTCTGCTTATCAACCTGTAAGTACTACTCTAGTATATATTTGCAATGACGAACCTTCGTCATTGCCTTGTTTTCGTTCACATTCTGCCCCATTAATATTCTCCTTAGTATATTCCTTATCGTCCGGAAATCACATTCGTTTTGCACGTAGTGCTTGTTATTCCCAGTTAGGTGCCTTCATCATATCCATTTCCTTCCAAATTTCGTAGGCATCATCTCTAGCATCTCATCAAGGTCACCTACTTTTTCGATTTTCGAAATCACTCATGCATGACCGTCCAGGCGCCATTTTGTCCGTTTCTGGTCCATTTTAAGGCCTTTATATCTTCCTTCCTATCTCCAATATCCTAGATCCTACAAACTTCTAACAAATTCCTCTAGATAGTCTGAGAGATGTTCTTTCATCTGCGACACATAACCTGCCCTTCAAAATGCCATCTTTATACTCGAAATTCAAATCTAAAACCGACTCCGTCAAAAATCTCTCAAGTTCTTGAAAAATGGACCCCTAAATAATCTAAAACTGCCATAACTTTCTCATATAAATTCCGTTTTGTATTTAAATCTCACAGTATCTTTATCTCATAATTGCACATAGCCGTGCCAAATTTCACGCTCCAATGGCTTTGCACAACATAAATAGCGCCCTCTAAAGTTCTGGGAATTGGCTTTCTCTCTGTGGCCGTATCTCCATAATGGCTTGGCAAACCCATACCCTTTTTTGGATTTAGATACTTGAAGATATGCCCTTTCCAGCCATATACAAAATTATATACCCTATCACTGACCAAATTTGAGAAAATTGCCCTCCAAATTCGCCATTTTCAAGAAAATTGAGAAATAACTTCAACTTGCTCTAAAATGGCGATCGTTATACTTACATCAATGAAACTTTGCAGACATATGTATCCATATACGTGACAACTGTTTACAAAGTTTGGTAAAATTCGAATATGTCAGCGCAAAGTAATCGCCAAAAATGATGAATTTACTATGGATTACGTAATAGCGCGTTCAATGCGCGCAATACATTGCGCGCAGTTAACAATGGTGTCAAACTGACCGCAATGAAGTGCCCTTTCGGATGATACCAAGTATTATATATGTTCACACAAAAAATTGTGAGTAAATCGCATTTGAACAAAGATCACTACACGAATTCCGCCGAGTTTCCGCCCGAACCTAACACGTTTCGGCTATGACGTCATTTTTTCAGACTGCTTTTCGCCCCTTAAAAGTCCTTTTTTTTCCTTGAAATTTTGCAGCGACATGCCGAGTTCCAATACGCAGGGCACCTCTTGGCCGGATTTTTGAAATTGGTCAAGGGGGCCATTTAAGACGCCATTTTGTCCTATACATCTATTTTACATCACGTGTTTCGATAGGATTATCATAGAAAAAAAGAGAGTGGTTTACAATAACAACCATGAAATTCTCTTTCTAATGATACCAAATACGGCCCATAAAGAGACGTAGAGAGAGAGAGAAAAAACAATTTAACTCCGGCCATAATACAGATCCTGCACGTTTTCCGCCCATTCATTACACGCATTGTCTATGGGGCATATCGGGTTCACGCTTTTGGCCCCCAGAACGAACTTGATTGCAATGTCAAACATGCACCAAATCCCATTGGTTTGTGCACGCAGTGCTTGCGAGCCCTTTCTAGGTTCTTTCCCCTATCCCAATTTCTTTCAAACTTCGTAGGCATAGTACCATCCCATCAAGGTCACTGTTGATGCCTTTCTTTCGCCCTACCTATCTCCAATATCACAGAAGCTACAGACTTCGTGCAAATTGCTCTGGATAGTCCAAGAGAAGCTCTTTCGTTTGACACGTAGAAACACGGCGTCATTGCACGCACATCGTTCTGACACGATTGCATTTCTAGTCTTCATTATATTTCCATATTTTAGCGGTATAATTTATGTTAGATGTGAGGGATTACAATTAAGTTTAAATACATAAAAGCAACATTTTAAACATTGTTAAAAGAAGACTGTAAAAAGAAGAAAGAATCATAAATTGGAGGTGTGAAAAGGTACGATTGGATTAGGCATTGTATTGATCATGAAGATAATGTGCAAACTATATGTGTGTAGTATATGAACTAGTTATTGAGACTGCCTACTCTTCAGTACATGTATAACATCTTACTAATAGTAGACCAAGACGGAGATGAAACGAGACAGAGAATCAGAGTGTGTGTTCAAGTAGTTTAATCAAGTTACTGTCTGAATGTGCACATGCGCAGATGTGGCAATACATAACAATGTGTGATGAGTGCTAATTTTCAAAATTGTATGAACATGCTTGTAGGATAGGAAGTTTTCTTTTAGAGCATGCTAATGGATTACAGGATTTTGGTGTGATATTTTTGATACTCTATGAAGAGATTGGCATTAAATAGAGAGAAAGAGAAAGAAAAAGAAAGAAAGAGAGAAATTGTGGGGGGAGGAGGGACAGAAATAGAGAGAGAGAGAGATAAAGAGAAATAGAGAAAGGGTATCGATATAATATGTGTTCTATATGTGTTTGAAAAAAACATTAAAGTAAATTGAATAGAATATAAAGTATGTCACAAACGCCAAAAGAAATCTATAGTGTAATTTAAAGTGAATATGTAATGTGGATCATTCAAAAATAAAAGTGGTGGAATTGCACATACACTATACATCTCTGTTGTAATATAGTGGGGAAAAAAAAGTATGTACACAAATATATAATTTTTGCCCTTTTTTGTATTTCAATTTATATTTTGTAAGCATTTGTATGTTACGATGACTAGCAAAATTAATGTTTCAAAAGTTTATGTTTTGATTTTTTTTTTGGCCAATTAATGTAGATTGATGTTTTTATCTCCTCCCCCCGCCCCCCTCAACAATACATACAAATGATACAATACCTTAAATTTTAATTGTTTCCCATGAAATCTCTTGAGGTAAACATTCTGTTACATCAAACTTTCCCTTCTGGAGAATCCTATACGTATGTAGTGGATTTTTCAGCAATACATACCGGTACATTTGTGTTAATTTTGTGAAATAAATGAACTGTTTGGCAGGTGTGATAAAGAAAAAATGGAGACATCCTGTGCAGGTGTCACGTGCTATGGGTAAAGTGTATATGTGACCACAGATGCAGCTCATACCCCTTTCAAACTGGCCTGATTTTCATCGGATGCATCCGGACGCATCCGATGAAACAGCCAGTATGAAAGCAACAGAGGAGAAAAAGCCGATAGAATAGCCGATGAAAAGAAGAGAAATAGGCGATTAAATTCTTTTTCTATCGGTGTGACACCGATGAAACAACCACTGTGAATGTGTTCGGGAAAAAAGCTGATTAAAAGACTGATGAAAATGATCAAAAGTTGCAGTGGACGCGTGCTTAATCGTAACCAGCTGTGTTTGTTGACTTATGGTTGAACATGCCGCATGCTAGCTAGATGGGGCACAGGCTTAATAATTGCGCAATAATTCTTCACTTCCGGCAAGGGCCCGCCACAGCGAGTGAATTTCACCCGCAGTATGAAAAGGACAGCAGAGAAAGTGGCGGTTTCACCTTTGTTTACATTTATAAGGAAAATTCAATCGGTATTTTCATCGGTGTGACTCTGATAGAAGCCAGTTTGAAAGGGGTATCAGACTGACTGTTAAAACCTGTGATACTGTTTTGGTGCCTAAAGCAAAACAAACAAACCGTGCAAGAACTGCCACTTTTTACGCAATATATCCAGAAAAGAGAACTTGTATGATAAATTAAGATCCAAACTCCTTCAGGGTACAAACAATACACAGCTGTGATAGCAACGTAATAGGAGAAACCAAGTCTTTGGCAGCCCTGAAAGGAAAGACGTATGTTACGTTAGGGAGTCTGTAAAGAATCAGTAGATCAATACTGGCCCCAGAGAAAGAAAGGTCTGTTTTCAGTCATGCTTTCTTGTAATGAATGAATGAAGCTGAGACACCTATTATTTGGGTCAGGTCTAGATTTCTGTCTCGACTTGTTCGTGATCTGTAGCTAGAAATCACCTCTAAGTGACATTTTGAGTGTAGAACATTATTAAGGAGAAGGTGGAGTCCTGGTACAAAGTGAAAATAATCTGTGACTTTTCACATTCTTCTTTTAGTTCATTGCTTGAAGGATATCATAGTAGCAATTCCATCTGGAAAAGGTGTGCTCTTGAATGCTCATATATTCCATATAAACCTAAGAATACTTGAAAACTGAAGACCAGGGACCTGTCTTATAAAAAGTTGATGTTAATCGCAAGTTATTTATGATTGGTATCATTCGTAAAGTTCTGTGTACATGAGAGATAGGAGAATGTAAAGTTGCCAAGTCGAGGTGTTGTGGTGTAGTGGATAAGTCACCCGACTGCAGATCACAAGGTACGGGGTTCGAGTCCCGCCACGGCACTAATGTCCTTTGGCTTGACGTTAATCTACATTTGCCACTGTCCACCCAGGTGTTAAAAAGGGTACCTGGTAGGATGTGAAAGTTAATGGTTTAGATGAGCAAGTGTGCGCTTGTACTAAAAATGACGCTTGGTTGGATCGCTCCCAGGGAGTGCGGTTATGCCTGGTTATGCTCATCTTAAAAAACTGAACAAAAATTTAAGTTTAAACTGAATTTACAATGGTTTTACAAGCCAACCTTTTTTAGTAATCAAGCAGTCCTATTTTTTTTAATGAGGGAATCCTTAATTACATCTTTTAGCTGAAAAATTTGTGCCGAATGCATTGCAATTGTTACCTTTGAAATGTAATTGTAAAAAAAATGATATTCTTTAACTTGATAAACTCAAAGTAAAATAGTTCAATTGCAAAATGATAAAACAGGAGCTGAGCATCAATATGTCTTATTCTTTGAACACGACAAAGGAGTGGGATTACACTCGCATAAGCTGATGAGAAATGACGTAAGAATAGTTATAAAAAGGTTGAAAAATTATTGAAGAACAAACTAAAGGTTGTCTAGTCCTCCTTTAGTGCCCTGAGATGACGAAACATGATAGTGCTTCATTGAATGCCAGGCCCCCATTTTAGCATCGTTTCAGGAACTCAATAATACCACCGCCCTCAACGGACCTGCCAACAACCAGATTAGTTCATGTCTGATGCACTCAGCATGTGTCCCACTGGAAGGGAGGGACATCGTATGACATAGCAGAGAGCTTGTTCACTTAAAGCTCTTGGGCCTTGTTCACATGTGGTTGGGATTTAAAGAGAAGATTGAGTTTTCGGAAGAGGTGAAAAATAATTTGTGAGTGTTATCATTGTATTATGCAAGTGTGGAAGAACATCTGATAAGAAAAATGTTCCCTGAAAAGCATGGCTCTTTAAATGCCTTAAAATTCTAAATATGGCACATAAAAATCGAACAGATTTTTATGCCACATGTTCGTGTAGTCCCATATACATCTTTCTGTGTACAATGCTTGTAACTTTACCAAGACTGGGCCAAATTTCTTATAATTTTGATGATTCCAGAACCTTGCAGTACACACCAATACTTATATGCTAGATGATCAACCTTTCTGATTGATTCCACACCGTTTCTTTCACAATGCAATCGCATGACCAGAACTCAACTTTATCTTTAAAGCGGCCTCAGAAAACTGCCGCAGCAAAAGAAAACCTTTGTAGGCTATGTGTAAATAAATGGGAAGTGGGGGTAGGACAAAAAATTTAGTTGCATGTGTTAAATACTCTCTTATCTCTCTTAGCTCTGTAGTGTCCTACGCTTATGTCATTCATTTCGTTCGTTCTTTGGTTCATTTGTACGCTTCCCTTTCTATAACAAGGATATAGTGCATAATATACATGTAGAAATAACCAAAACACTTAAGTGGAAATGAGAAAAAGGAGAGCTTACAAAAAGTTTTGTAGAAGGTCAATTTATATCCTTATCACTTCAGTTTAAATCATTATAAATTCTTTTTTGTTTTTGCCTGGGCATTTTTTGAGGTGTTTTACTGATTCATGTATGAATGAGGCCTTAGTTTTTAGTTCCCTGGTGTAGATGGAAAAGAGAGCAATCACGGATTAAGGGAAGAGTGATAATAAAGAGATAGAGGGAGCAGTTGTTTTATCTCTGAAATTTTGTTTGATTCATTTTTGTTCATGTTTAAAAACATTCATCAAAGAAATTAGTTAATAATAGTATTATACTTATCAGTTTGATTTGATTTCTATGAGGCCTATTGCCTATTGCTCATTCACTACTCCCAAACTTGAGGAGGAGGAGGAGGAGGAGGAGGAGAAGAAAGGAGAGAGGAGAGGGGGAGGAGGAGGAGGAGGAGGAGAGGCAAGAGAAAGAGGGGGATAGAGAGAGATGGGAATAGAGAGAGAGGAAAGAGAGAGGGGCGGGGCGGGGCGGGGGAGGGGAAGTTGGGAGCAAGAAAGTCTACAGTATATGCCTTTAAATCTCAGGAGGACATTTACAAACTAGCTCCCATATTATAGTTGACCAATGGAAAAGTATTATTACAGGAAGTGGTGTCGATATCCACCATTTTAATCAGAATCGTGCTTTAGCATTCCAAGAGGGCGGATCATGGTGACCGGATACCGGGAAATTCAGAATGGAATAATTGTATTGTGTCTGATGACGTTTTGATGGATTTCTAAGAGCGGTTTGACAAAAGTTCACATGCAGTATAAAGGACGGCACAAAGTTTGATAGTAAAGTGGCAATGATGAAATTTAAATTTTTCTTATCTTTTTGGATAAATGAGGTTAGAACAGACCACCATGAAAGATCCCTTTAGAATGCTGGCATTTTGACTATACAGTATATTCAATATAAGTTTTTTTTTTTCAGTGTCTCCAATAAATATTTGGTTTTCAATTATTTTACTTGAAAGTGAAGAAATATATGACATGTAGGTTAAAAGTAAACAAAAATTGTGATTATTCAAGAATAGTAGGCCTATATATGTGTTTATTTGATCATTGTTTTTTAATTACAAATTTTGATTTTTGCAGTGTACTTGTGAGGGAAATAATGGTGATATATTTTAGACATGTCTAAAAACAAGCTGAACGTAATTTTTTTTCTTCAGAAAAAAGGATCACTGCACGGTATACTTATTGGTTGCAACAACCAGTGTGGTTTGATCTGTTTAATGATAAAAAGACTTTTAAGATTTTAATTTCAAATTGCAATACAAAGTCAAATTATTATTTCATATTTTTTGCCACATGTAATGTATTGTAACTGGCAAAGATGATTTGGTGCACAAATTTATACAGAAAATCTGATTCATTCATTCTATATGCTAATGTCTCAAATGTCTGTCCTTTTCCATTTTTTCACAGAGAATCCGAGGACGATGCCTTTGTATCCCAATTCTCAGACTTGTTGCTCCAAAAACTGTTTGAAGCAGCGATACAGGCAGCAGGTGATCATGATAAAGTCAAGTCGAATGCAGTGAGAGGCCTAGGCATGCTAGTACGCTTCATGCAACCTCATACATTAGGTAAGTCATGCTTGGAAATTTCTATGAGATGTCTGAGGAAAATATAGGTAAAATAAAGGTAGAGAGAGAGAGAGAGAGAAAGAGAGAGAGAGAAATAGAGAGAGAGAAGATA